TTCTGGGAGTTGAAGTCCACAAGTCTTAAAGTTGCCAAGGTTGGACACCCCTGGTTTAAGTGAAGCACTGCAGTTTTTAAGTTAGTGACATGTTTGTTAAGTGAATCCGGCTTGACTTTACTTGTCAGAAAGTTGCAAAAGGTGATGGCATGGCCACGTGACAGTGCAGCCGTCGTAAGTATGAATCAGTTGCCCAGCATCTGAATTTTAATCACGTGACCATGGGGATACTGCAACTGTCGTAACTGTGAAAAATGGTCACAAATCACTTTTTTCAGTGCTACTGCAAGTTTAAACACTCCCTAAATGAGTGGTTGTAAAGCAAGGACTAGCCTGTATAGATTTATATAGTAAAGTCTAAAAATCTTCTAGGAAAATATATAATTCAGGTGGCTTATTTTCTTATCACGAGACTTTTTGCAGTCTGGAAACGAAGAAAGCAAAAACTCGCTGAAATAACGAAGAGTTTTTAAAGTGATAATACTGTCCCACGCAATTTCTGGAGATGTTCAGACAACGGAATATGCTATTCTATTTGTTTAAAGAACAGTAATCAAGCATCTGCTTCTCCAAGGATCAGAATTAATAATTACCTGGTGGTGGCGGCGGTGCGATGCCAGGTGGTGGCGGAAGGGCAATGTTTACAACAGCTGGAGGGCCACTGGGAGATAGATTGAAGTAATTTGCAGAAGCCGCTTCCTCTTCTGCTGCAGGAGGAGGTGGAAGAGCTGCAGGGTATAACATTTCAGTTAGTTGTAAAACTTTTCCCAGCGACCACAGTACAGTACCCACACGCCTGAACAAATTAGGTCGAGAAAGCGTCACTTCAATCTGTTTTCACAACAGGGTCTCCATTCCACTAGAAGAGAATAGCTGTAGCTCAGAGTTGAACTGTGAAATTATTGCTAGTCTCTGAGCCTTGGCTGGTTGCAGATGTTTCAGTATCCTACTACCCTGAGAGCCACAGTGGTGCAGTGGTTAGAATGCAGTACTGCAGGCTACTCCTGCTGATTGCTGGCTGCCTGCAATTTGGCAGATCGAATCTCACCAGGTTCAGGGTTGACTCAGCCTTCCACCCTTCCAAGGTGGGTAAAATGAGGACCCAGATTGTTGGAGGCAATATGCTGACACTAAAATCACTTAGAGAGGACTGTAAAGCTCTGCGAAGTGGTATATAAGTCTAACTGCTATTGCTATTGCTACTACGTAGCATCATCGGCGTGAGTAAATGTGGGCTTTCCTGTCTGTTTATAAGTAGTTTGCCCTGCCGGCAAATCTCACACTCAGTGTGAGGTTGTGTAATGAAATATCTGCAAACAACCAAACTCAGAGAGCCTTGAGAACACCTTCACAACATCCTCATTATTTACTAGAGATTCAACATGGATTGGGAGATAGGAGAGGCAGTGCACTGTAGCCTTACAGACTACTTCACAGACCTGTTGTTATGGAAAGCCCATATTTGGAATAAACAACCTGTATCTCTTGAAAGGTTTCAGAAGCACTAAATATTGAGGTGTCAAAAGCATTTGAATATGACTCTAGCTCTTTATCCTTCCAAGAACTAAATTAATAGGCTTCAAATAATAATCCAGGCCTTCATTCACAGACTTGTTCTAATTCATTATTCAATTGCCAATCAAACAGAACTCAAGACGTTCTACTTGTTTCATTCCCTTTTGGGGACATAACTGCCTTTCAAGGTTAGATCAAGAAAAACAAATACCTCTGTATTTTCCCTTTGCTAAGGCTGTCATAATAAACAGCTTTGGAATTGCCTTACCTCCAGGTAGACCAGGAACTGGTTCCAGTTTTAGACCAGATTCTGTAGTCCCTTCTCGTTCCTTTTCTTTCCCCCTGGCTGCTTGAGATCTGAAATCCAGGAAAAGATACCATAATTATGATCAACTGATAAGTTACAAATAATTAACTTCCAAGTTAATTGTACTGGATGAAAGAGTGGAAGACAAATGTGTATTGCTTTCACTCTTTTTTTCCTGACCACTCACTCACCTGCCCCACTTCACATTAAGCCTGCGGCCGTTCACAATGAGTTTGTTGAAGGATTTTTCTGCTGCTACTTCTGCGGCTTGTCGGGTAGCAAATTGGATAAATGCACACTGCTGCCTCTGGACCACTGTTATTGTCCGAATCTCACCAAACTGATAGAAGTGATTCCTGAAGAAGAAACATTCTGATACTGTAATACAAGGTCTCTCTCACACACACAACGATGTAACACAAAACTAAATTGGTTTTTATATAGCCAGTAAAGAAAGTTTGCCTCTAAATTGTTCATCAATTAATTATATATATTTAATGCTATTTAAAATTCTGAAAAAAATCAATCTAAAATAATTTGTTTATATGTATGTATGTATGTATGTATGTATGTATGTATGTATGTATGTATGGTATTCAGCTTTGTTCGGGTATTTTCCCACGTCATTATAGTTGTGCTTTTAAAGTTGTAGCAACATTTCGGCAGAATCTCATCTGCCATCATCAGGCTTCTGTAACTTCTGTAGAAGCCTGATGATGGCAGATGAGATTCTGCCGAAACGTTGCTACAACTTTAAAAGCACAACTATAATGACGTGGGAAAATACCTGAACAAAGCTGAATACCATCCATCCATCCATCCATCCATCCATACATATATAATGTAAACATAAAGTAACAGATTAATAAAACAGTATTACATACTGATGAATCAATAAGAATACTTTAAAATTTGCTAATATTGCCAAAGAATCATTGGTAAACGAAATAGTAAGATGCTGGTAAAACTTTAGCTGCTATCTTATTTAAAACCTTCATTTGGCATCTCATTGCCACTGTTGGCTTGAATTATTTTGGAGCAACAAGACACATAAACGTGATAAATGTCTTCTCAAAAAACAATGTTCTATGTTGACTCGGAGATGTGCCAGTTTATTATATGGAGAAGTCAAGGGTGGAACTTCATTAAAATAATAATAATAGATGTCAAATGTACATAAAGCTAAAAGTCAAGTCTTGAGAAGCAAATTATGGATGCTAATATATATTGCTGTAGATACATTTTTGACTGAACCTGGAAAAATCACTTATTATTGACAATCTCAAAAAAGAAAAAGTTACAATGCTGACAAGAAATGAAGCAAACAATAGAAACATACCTAAGATCAGACTCCGTGATAGTATCGCCTAGACCACCGACATACAGGGTTGTAATGGTCTTGTCATCAGGGGGATCTAGACGAGGCATGGTAGAAGCTCGCTTGAGGAGCTTGTCAGCCACAGGATCATTTATACCATAGTAGCGATCTTTAATGTTCTGATCTGCAAGGGGATCATCCGGATCTGTAGGTTTTTCATGTCTAAAGAGTCCAAAGCAATATGGTAGGATATGTGGTTAAGAGTGGTTAAATTCATTTGACTTATCTAGCCTTCTAAACCTTGGCACTAATTTGGCAACATAACACCCAGATAATTTTAAAGGAAGCTAGATTATTTATTACATAATATGCAAATATTGGAAATTTTATCATATGCAATTATTGGATTTTTTTAAAAAGCACCATTGCTGCAATTTCAAGAGCTTCTCAGTCATCAGAGTCAATTACTTAGTATGTTACAACTACGGTCTTAGCAGTAACAGCATGAGACTCAGTGGAATGATTATGGTGTTGCCATAGAAACAAGGAAACCCAGATTCTATTTGATCCTTAGTCCACAGTCACTTTTGCAACAGATTGTTGTGAGTGCAAATTAAAAGGGAATGTTCTGCCTTGAACAGAAATCCGATAAACAATGTTTCCATTTTGATATTTCTGGATTTGTTGATGCATACGCATTATTTTCTTTCGGGTAACTGCCTGAACTCTTGAAACCTTCCTTCCTTCCCATTTGTCCTCCATCCATCCATTCATCCATCCATCCCTCCATTTTTGCCACCGTCAGGCAACTTAAAATTGTAAAATTAATGAATTTCTGCATTTAATTATACCTGTAAGGACACTCTTCTCCCCTTTTACATTCTCCTTTCACCCAGAATGAACAAATATGAGGGCGATTGCGCTTGTAGTAAGGGGTGGTCCGAGCCAATTTTAGCAGCATGTCACTGGTAGATGTTGCCTTTCCAAGAGCGCCGACAGGTCGAGTGCCATCTGAATTCATGATCTAGAAAAGCAGACGGATAGGGGTGGTTATTTACTTTATTCAATTTATATGCCACCCCTCTCATGGTTCGGGGGGTATACAATAATACCAAGAAGGTTCATGTCCAAATATTGGGCTCATTTAATTTACTCTACAAAAAATAATAATTTCTTCACCTCTCTTTCCATATTTTGGGTGTAATATTCTTTATTAACATCAGACTTGGGCATATCATCTTTAAGTGAGAGTCCAGCATCACGAACCTGAATAGGTAAACCTAATATTGAGGAACAAAACACACAATTGATACAAAGCAAAAACAAAAAACATTTTTCCAAAATAATAAATTTACCTCTTTCACTGTTACATCACACTATTCGTTCTCTAATCTAATAATCAGACACCATAAATCATAATCTGTACATTTATAGCCAAAATTTAGTCTACTTTATTATACATTATTACACTCATTCTTTTTCTATTTCAAATTTCAATAAGATTCTTGTGCTAACAGCCAGAAAGGTGTTTTCTGACACAACCTGGATTTGTATCTATCCCATATTATCAATATGGCCTATCTAACATAATTATTTTTAAAATCAACATTAACTTTGATTTTACTGTACCACAAATATCCATGGCACTCAAATCTTAGGTCCTGTAGAAATCTACAGTTAACATCATGATGCTGAATGAGTGTAGTTATAACTGGACCCCATATTAACAACTGTTGCAGAGTCCCTATGGTTACATGATTGCGATTCCTAAGCATGAGGAATTTGACAGAAAATTGGAAGTTGCACACATATGAGACCCTCACTTAAGGATGATCCTCATTTAACAACAACACTGAATTGCTGGAACTGCTGTCACAAAACAGCACAGTCACATGGTTTTTCAACTTATTATCGTGTTGCTTAATAATAGAGTTTCTGGTCCCAATTAGCATTGTTAAATGAGGGATATCTATATTTAGATAACAGCCATCACATGAATTTCCTTCATCCATTTTTTTACAAAATTATTTCTCCCCTCTGGGACATTGAGATTTTATTCAATATATCTATATTCCAATTCTCTTTTAACTCATGTTCAGCTACGTAACATCATATTGGGGCTGTGCAAAACTTCAGATTCAAAGATTACAAAGATGCCAAATATGGGTACCATAGTACAGGTAGTCCTCGACTTACAATAGTTCACTTAGGGACGGAAGTTACAATGGCAGTGAAAAAAATTGCTTATGACCAATTTTCACACTTATGTCCATTGCCGCATCCCCGTGATCATGTGATTTCCATTTGGTTGCTTGACATTTAACTCACATTTATGACGGTTGCAGTGTCCTAGGGTCATAAGTTCACCTTTTACAACCTTCTGACAAGCAAAGTCAATGGGGAAGCCAGATTCACTTAACAACCATGTCACTAATTTAACAACTACGGTGTTTCACTTAACGAATATCACAAGGAATGTTGTAACACAGAGCAAAACTCACTTAACAAATTTTTCATTTAGCAACATAAATTTTGGGCTCAATTGTGGTTGTAAGTTGAGAACCAGCTGTACATCATTCTGAAACACACATAAATATCTATGGTATTAAGACAGAAATGCCTTAAGATGTAACAACCATTTAAAAATGGTCAAGCTTTGTAGCAGACAGGAATACTGTACAAAGTAACCTTGGGCAAACTGGAAAAACAAAACTGATGTATCCGATCTAGAGTTACAGATGTCCCTAAAAATATTCAACCTAAACCATTTTCTAACAGCACTTCAAAACTAATTGTAGTATTTCAAAGAGAAAAGGAATACAGAGACCAGGATATTAAAAGAACTGTATGTGGAGATTTATTACATATTTTTCTGGACTCTCCACCCTTTATTAGTGGGTTGAAGTTGGGAGAAAAACATTAAAGCTACCTTTTCTGATTTCAGTCAAAGCTTCCAGTATTGATTTATTCAAAACAGTGGAATATGGATTGATTTTATCTAGTATTTTATATGACAAACCCTTTTTTATTTCCACTATTAAGTACTATCAGTAATGCCTGTCATTTCAAGAAAGGGAATGCCAGACTCATTTCTCTAAACTGATAAATGAGTGCTACTTATGTCATTCTTCTTCATCTTGCAGAACTTCAGATATGCAGACTCTGATCTCCAGTAATAGCAACTCACTGTTAGTGCGCTGGAATAATAATGTGCTAATTTTGTAATCATTCATTCAATGTAAAATGATAACTACAAACCATATTCCAAGTCAAGAAGGCAAGTCTGACAAACATTCTTCAGCTTGCTGCATGTTTGGCACACTTCAGTCTTCTTAAAGCGCATACGAACACCAGGGCACCAACGAAAAACTGTGAACGGCCTGGCACAGATCTGAAACAATTATTACATTAATGTATATCATCCTAACCAAAATCTATTTTAATGCATTTTTATTTAAAATATTTCTATTATGCCTATATTCTATGCAATTTTAGCTGGCTGACATATTGCACACCCAAATAAATTCCTAGATTGAGTCAGTATCTCAATTTAGGCATACTCACATAGATCTAATTTTCCATTATTAATTTTCCATTATACTGTGGTCTGAAAGATCTGTTTTGAGAGATTCAGTCTTACTTGTTGAAATAAATAAAACACTGAAGATATATCACCTTTCCTAAAAACATACTTACACTATTCAAAGATTGATTCTGGATAGGCTGCTCTGGTTTTTTTTTTAATCACATACACATTCCACATTCCATAAGTACCCTTATGATTTAAATGCTTACCTTTAGAACCAAGATACTTAAGTTTAAAGAAAAACAGCTAATTTAATGTTAGTTTAAGATGATGTCCAAGTTTATACAATTTCCTAAATAACAGCAAAATTACTGCAATTTACAGAGCCACAAGCTACTTTGTGTGTGCCATTCTTTACAATTATGTAAGTTTTTTTCAAATGGAAAACCTACCTTGCATTCTTTTCCATATTTTTCTTTGGTCTAAAATACAGGGAGGAAGGAACATATTACAATAGATAATTATTCCAAGACAATATATTTCAAAAATCAAGCTTTGTTTTTTTTTCACTATCCAAGAAGCTCATTTGTATTTTGTACATGACTTCCATCTGTCAGATGGAAGAACAGAAGACAAGGCATACCAGTCTCCAATCATTACTAAAATCAAAATAATAACATGCAAGAAATCTTCACTCTTCATCTTCCAAAAGAGTCTAGATATCAGGGTCCTTTCAGAGATCTATTTCTTGATCTCCAATAAATTTTAGCTTGTCATCCTTTTCAAAGTTAGAGCTAGCTTTTAATGTACCAAAATGATACATATACTGTATACACAATATCTCGTCATTAATGTACTTGAAAAAGGTCACTAGTACATAGTGAGTATATAGATCTTTTGCCAAGCTAAACATGAAGAACTATGAAATGAAGTTCTGCTTGCTTTGATCTTGCATTTATGCACCCAGCTCAGTTCCTTTTATCTTTATTATGTGTTTTAAATATTGTTCCCTCACAACAACATACCATTCGGATATAGGGGTTTTCTCCAAGACAGGTCTGGCACAAAATAGGGAAATCCTACAGGGAAAAAGTGTAATTATTCCAAGACCAAGATAACATAACCCTGTTGTACACCAAAAGGGCTGTGGATTAAAAAACAAACAAGCAGAAAATGACACAACTCTTCCAATCATACACGGTTGAAGAGCTACAGGATCTGAAGGATCTAAATGCCCTAAGATTGCCTAAATTAAGAGAAAGGGAAGCCATACGCTTCATTCCTCCAGGAAAACTGATCAGGTTACGGAATCGCCTCCGTCCCTCCGTTTGACACCTTTGGCTTCTCTATCCTGCCGCAGGAAGCTCAGAGCAGGCAGCAGCCCCGGCCTCGGCACGCTTTCCAACATCCCTCTTTCTCGAGCAACGGATGGAAGCCTCTTCGGCTACGAAGCACGACGATGTCAACGGACCGGCCCGATTCAGAGCCACCCTCTCCCTCCTACCGAAGCCAAGGCACCCAAACACAAAGGACAACGTTTTTACCGCATCCTCCCAGTTCTGCCGATTGTACGTGTTGGATCCCAGAGACGTCGCCATTTTATTGTGCTTAAAGTATTAAAAAAAAAAAAAAAATAGCGGGCCCGGAAATAGACGCTCCGCACTCCGGAAGTACCTTTCCGTAGTCCAAGCTTCTTGACCAATGACTGTAAGAAACGGGTGAGAGTGTCTTTTTTTTTTCCATGCCCTATTAGATGAGGCCGCTCCCTTTTGACTGGTTGAAACGGAAGTTCCTCCCCAGACCTGACCTCTAAGCGCGGGCTGACTTAACTGTTAGCGTGGGCGAAGAGGAGGCGACTTTCGCTAACTATAGTTTATGGTAGTTGCAGACCAAGGGTTTTAAGAGGGTCTTGGGGTGGGACGGGGGGGAGAATCGGAATAGACACTTAAAGAGAAAAAGGACCGGTGCATTTTTCAGCACTAGTGACAACTTAGATTGTTAGGATACACGTAAGTGCAGCATCGTATTTCAGGGTGAATCCCAGCTCGCCTTCAAAAAGCACCGCCTACTCCGCAAGTATTATAACTCGGCTGCTATCTAGAAGACCCACTGAGTAAAGTGCAGCTTGCTTCTGCGTAAATTCATACGAAGGGTCTATTATTCATATTTTTCTGAGCGTGAAACTCCAGAAAAAAAACATACTCGTCTTTTTCGTTTTAAACCACCCCACCCAATCACAAAGGCACTTATTGTAAGATGGGCAGGCATACAAATTGTTTGAATACGACTAATAATCATTGCTTGTTTTATTATTATTCCCTTTTAGCAAATTTGTTGTTTTAGTAAATTATGGAATACTGTAGGGTAAATGTGCTCAACCATTCGAATGTTGACATTGATTTTGTGCCATCAAGTTTGTATTGACTTTTAGTCAACAAACCACATAGATTTTCTGCATGACAATCTGTCCCTAATCTCTCGTCTTTCAGGTCTTCTAACAGTGCAGCTATCATCACTGTAACAGTCCATCCATTTCACTGCTAGTTGTCCTCTTCCAATTTCCAAGAACCAGAGCTTTTTCCAGAGAGCTAGGTCTTTGCACAGTAAGGTAACTTCAGCTTGGTCATTTGTCTTCAGTGACAATGCTGGCTTAACAGTTCATATTAACATGGTCTATATTTTCTTTACAAATCTCTAGTTCTAAATCTCTTTCAGTATCATTCTCTTTCCTAACATTTGGAGAATATTTATTTTAAATATAAGTTTCATCCCTTAAAACATTTCCTCTTCAAAATATGGATATATGAGAAAGAAGGTAGAAGAGAGTTGATCAGAACCAGAATATGGAAAGCAGTTAAATATAGGTAGTCCTCAACTTTACAATTCATTTAGTGATCAGTCAAAGTTACAATGCCACTGAAAAAAGTGACATGACCATTTTTCACATGCCTGTTTCAGCATCCCCATGGTCACGTGGTCTAAATTCAGAAGTTTTACAAATGACTCATATTTATGATGGTTGCAGTATCCCATGTTCATGTGATCACCTTTTGTAACCTGACAAGCAAAGTCAACGGGGAAGCCAGATTCATTTAACTGTGTTAGTAGCTTAACAAGTGCAGTGATTCACTTAATAACTGTGGCAAGAAAGCTCATAAAATTCACTTAAATGTTTCGCTTAGCAACAGAAATGTTGGGCTCAATTGTGGTTGTAAGTCAGGAACTACCTACTAGCAATTTTATCAGGGATCTATCTGAAATCACAAATAAGAAATGTCTGCCAGCATGAAGTACATCCCTGGTAAAATTTAGTATCACAGAAATGGGGATTCAAGACACAGATCCTTTTGATTTCATATTTTTATATAACATTCAAATACCATAGTATCATGGAAGACATTTAATTGCATGCAATAAAATATCACAATCACAAATTCAATATATTTTGGACAAACTTGTAATGCAGAAACAAGGATTCAGATTAGAGCCTACAATTTTTGGCACTGCTGTGTTAAATCTAGGATACAGAACAGATCTGTTTGATTTTGCCCGATTTTTGCTCCCACAAGTAACCAATCATGAAATCACAGCTGTCTGCACAATAAGCAGCATATGAAATACTTGACTCATTGCGAAACAAGGTATAGATCTCTATGATTTTTACTTGAGATCCAATTGAAAATATGCATAAAACACAAGACACCAACTTCTGTGTAAAAAACCTGTGACAGAAATCCTAATGGATGCTCTTCATTTGTACTCTGTCTACCTGAACATTATAAAGCTGTAGTCATATTCTCACAAAAGAATAATGTGTTAATGTGGTGAAAGATCAAATGACTTCTATTATTTTTCTTTTAAAATGTCTACTTGGTATATGGAAACTATTACATTCTATTACAAATCAATATGGTCCCAAGCACAAAACTATAAAATTCAGATTTGGCAATTCAGGCAACTTATTTCTACTCAGATTGCCCACCTCCACTGCCCAGGTGCATAATGGTTTTCAGAAATATTTTGTAGATGTTATTTTCAGCAAATGTTTTCTTAGAATCAGACACTAGATTTCAATGTTATTGCCTAGTATAATTCTTCAATTAAAGAACATTTTACAGTACTCCATTTTTTACTAATCATTTTTTACAACTTGATTTATCCTCCAGCTCTAAGGTTGAACATTTAAGCATTTTAAAATAAATGGCACTTTTAGAACATAACATATTGGCAGACAAAATTTTTGGACAAAACACAATCCACAGCATTTTGAATTCTACTTTTGTTACCAGACAGTATGCCAAGTATCTCAAGGTTTTTCGTTGTACCATATGGGCAGGTGGCAGGAAGAGAAATGATATGAATTTAAATAATTAGGAAGCTATTTTTGAAGTTTAAAAAAAAACTATAATCTTGGTGGAATAGAATAAATGTCAAATGCAAATGAACAATTTGGAGAATCTTGGAGTTAGTTATAGAGTCTTAAATATATGGTTTTATATTGTAAATTACTCTATGGAAGAACTCTAAATGTTTCTGTAGTCCACCGTGGATATGTTGAGAGCTTATTTATCTATAGTACTGTTTGCTGAATATTAGTTGGTTCTGAATTAAGAGCATTCCCAAGACTCTCATCTCTTCTAAAGATCTTTGCTAGGTCTTCTAAGGGGACTCTTATCCCTCTAGAACACATTGTGTTATAGAGCCCCAATTCTCAGCTACCTTGTGTTCATAGTACATACACTCTAGTTCTATAGCATCTTTTAGTTCCTCACTATTGCCAGTCTTACCCTTCTGACTGCCACTATAAAGCATTTGGAATGGCATTTTAATTTCAGTTCTAATTTGCTAAAGGATTTCTACTTGCAAGACGTGTTTCACAACAGACATCACCATAATAGATTTTCACAGAGAAACATAGATAATTTTACTAAAATAGTGTTTGCTAAATGCTTTCAGCTAATCTTACTCTAATCATCATGAGTGCAATAAATGTTTCACAAGTGACAAACTAAAAGATAGTAATGTAAGTTAGATAATAGTTTCAATTAACCTTTTATATAGAAAAAGCCCTGATCAGATGTACATTTGTGAATGTTAAAAAACGCACAAGTTCCCACTTTTTATGGAGTACAGGTAATCCTCAACTTACAACAGTTCATTTAGTGATTGTTCAAAATTATAACGGCACTGAAAAGGGGACTTATGACTGTTTTTCACACTTACAGCCATTGCAGTACTCCCATAGTCAGGTGATCAAAATTCAGATGCTTGGCAATTGGTTTATATTTATGATGGCTGCAGTGTCTCAGGGTCATGTGATCCCCTTTTGTGACTTTCCAAAAAGCCAAGTCAATGGGGAAGCCAGAGTCACTTAACCTGGTTACTAAATTAACAACAGTGATTCACTTAACAATTATGGCAAGAAAGGTCATAAAATGGAGCAAAACTCTCTTAACAAATGTTTCACTTTGCAACAGAAATTTTAGGCTCAACTAGTCGTAAGTCGATGACTATCTTTAATTCAAAATTTGGGACTTTTGCATGCCTTGTAAAAGATGTGCAAAAGTAATTTATTGGTCCAGTGTTACAAATCATGTAATGCTAACATTGCCAAAAGTTACCGTGGTTATTTCTAGTCATACAAATATGACAGAAAAATCTTAAATATGATAAAGTAAAATACACGAAAGCAGCTTTGTCTGCTTATTTATTTGAAGTTCACTAAGTTATACAATAAGGCAACAGAGTTATCCTAATACTGATAAAGGCAGAATATCCCTCCAGTGAGATATTTTTACAGATATGTGAAGTGAGATATGTACAAGTATTCTTATATTCTGAGAGGTTCAAAGGAGAAAAGATTTTTCAAGTATGTCCCAACTTTATATGTGTTTACAAGAAATCTTAAATATATATTAGTTCATTACAATATTAACTTATTATTGGACTTTTAATTAGTGTGGAGAGTTAAATCATGGATTAATTGGAGTTAAATGTATAAATTTGAGAGCATCAGACATTAATATTGTTCTACACATTGAATAAATATTGCCTAGATGTCTTAAATTCATGCTGCACAACGTATCTACATCAAACTTCTTTTTACATCAATTGCACAAAATACAAAGGTGAAACTTTTATTTAAATAGTGCCAAACAAATTAAAACTACTTAGATATACTTTCTAACAAATTAGAAATATATTTCCAGGGGCCTTAAGTACATCTTCCAATTATACATTTCTATTCATCTTCTCCATTCCTATCTTGGACTAAAACATAAATATTCACGCTGTAATGAGTGCCCAAGGCCACCAGTCTGCAATCAGATCTTTTCATTTTCCCATTACATACAATGTGCATGCAGTGCTACAATATTAAATTTCAAATCATTAAAATTCAAAACCCAAAACTTGGAAATTATACTTTATAATAATTTATTCACCCGCCTATTATAAATCTTAATGAAATCTGTTCAGCAGGAGAATAAGATTTTACACCTTCAGTGCAAAATTGCACAATAGTGATGGTCGCTACTTTTCCAAGAGGTCTTAAAAGTTCAAATTTATATATTAAAAGTAATTAAAATCATAATGAGCTATCTTTGGTCAGTATCCTGTTCCTAAAGTAATAATTTAACAACAACACTTGTGCTTGTCCCAATTGGATTCTTGCTTCAATAAATGCAATACATCAGCAAATACAACTATTCTAAATTGCATTTCCTTTAAATAAGCATTCTCCAACCTAAGAAGTTAAATCCTCCAATGATATCGTATTGATTCATGTCTTCCTTTCAGGAATTGTCCATAACAAGACAATGAAATGCCACAAATGGTACAAAAAAACCTTAGCAGTAAATATTTGAGATGCCTGACAGATAGGGAAAGCAAGACATTTCATGCTGCTGTGTTGATTATTGCTTTACTGAAAAATCTAGTTGAATAATTACTACACTCAGAAAAGTAGTAATCCAGTTATCAGAAAATGTACAGAGAAGGAAATAGATTTTGTCCAATATTAGCTTGGTTAAATTGGTGTAAGGAAAGCTAGTAAAAGATTTTGCAAGGAACTAGTTGTGACTTTTTTTAAAGGAAGATAGAAGATAACTACAAACATGCACACTAAGCCTGTACTGTCACTGACTATGCATGTGGTATAGTGACAGAATCACTAATTCATGTAATGGATGTGAAGAGGAGGAGGCAAGGAGAAAAAAAGTGTCTTTTTTCTGTTTCAACTCTACCTTTTTTGACTGAAATTTCACTTTCCAAGGCATCTCTGTAAAACCAGCATTTTATCAGAATGCATTTTCAAAGCACAGTATAACAGGTAACTATCATTTAGCAACCAATTAAGACACAAACTTCAGGGAAGCAGAGGGCCCAGGCTGAGCTCCACATGATGGGTGAGCCAAATGACTTCACAACTTTGATCACCTTCCTCTGTGGGGCGGATTGGAGCGGCAAGATTTTTGAATTCATGTCTCATCTTAAAGCTTACAGTAACTTTCCCTTCTTCTTTCTGTGGAGTAACTTTGATGAATATCCCAACTTTGTTAGCTTTCCGGAAAGCTATGATGCTACAAAACAGGGAAAATAATAATAATAACAACAATAGTAACAGCAACAACAATAATATTGAAATAGTCTGTTGTTCAAGTAAGTAATTGCCAATTCAATTTCCTGGATCTTACAAACTTTCAATGCTGCTCCAGAATCTCTCAATTCTCAGGAGCAAATAATGTCATCTTCCCCATCTTTTCACCAGGAAAACCTTCACTAGAATAATTAATTACCATAAATGGAAGAAGAGCTAGATGTAGTCCACATACTATATCTTGCTTTAATAGTTAAAAGCTATAAAAGCTGTACAAATTTATACTGCAAGAACAATCCTAGCAATACTCTCAACCTCATATATGAGCATCATACAGTATAAGCAATGTTTGTCCAGGATCCACAGTATTGTCTGGGATACTACACATCCACTTCATGAGCTGTTTGATTACCTTCTGGGAGGAGGCTTCGTGGTATCCGAAGCAGAACATCCAGATTCAGTCACAGTTTTGTTCCATATAGTATTAACCCTGTGAACTCTCAAGCTTCCTCTTTCTGATATGTATTCAAGATGGACAATGATTTATACATATATGTGCGTATGTATTTGTATATAGTATGTGAATATGTGTGTTAAGTATGTGTATGGGTAGATTTATATTTTCATTTTTAATCTGCCAGTGTGCTCACAGTTAGGATTACTGAACATAATACAGGTGGTCCTCGATTTATGACCATAATTCAGCCCAAAATTTCCATTAAATGAATTTTGCCCCATTTTATGACCTTTCTTGCCATATTTGTTAAGTGAATCACTGCAGTTGTTAAGTTAGCAACACAATTGTAAAATGAATCTGGTTTTCCCATTGACTTTGCTTGTCAGAAGATTGCAGAAGGTGACCTTGGGACACTGCAATCATAAATATGAGTCAGTTGCCAAGCATCTGAATTTTGATCATGTGACCATGGGGATGCCAAAACAGTCATAAGTAAACTTTTTCCAGTGCTGTTTTAACTTTGAATGGTCACTAAACAAACTGCTGAAAATCGAGGACTACCTGTGTATTTTCTAGAACGAGAAAAAAAATCCAAACTTTCAGTGCAGATAATTAACAAGAAATTACTAGATGTTTAAAAATTGTAACTGATTTTCAATGAATTGACAGGCTTTTTATTATAACAAATTTAAAACTCATAGGTTATATAAAGAATATTCATTAGTTATTTCTCTTTAGTTTCAATAGTTCAATTATTTGGGATGGATATTTAGTATAAACTTGCAAAGTTCAAAAGCATTGACACTTATATGTAAATAAATGTATTAATGCAGTTATTGTACCATGGCACCTTACTCCCAAAGATAAAAATTCTAAAAATATTCATAATTTCTCAAGTTAATTGTTTTACTTCATTTGCTACTTTAGAGAGAATTAACCTAATAATTGTCCAGAAGAGTTATTGTAAGTAAATTGGGGGGAGCGGGGGGGGGAGAGAAATGGGACTAAGTAGTTACATTACTCAAGAAATGGCTACAAAACAAATCTGGGGCTGGCTTAGAGAAAAGATTAATTTAGTCCATCATCTTGCTTCCAACAGTAGCCACCCAAATGCCTTTGGGATGCTCACAAAAAACTTTAGTACTTGCTCCCTAGCAACTTCTATCAAAATACTACCTCCCTGGCAGATAGTACCCAGTGGCACTCCTGTATTTAAATCTGGAGGTTTTTCAGCTGCATTGTCAACAGTGATAGATCTCTCCTCCATAAATGTATTTAATTCCTTTTTGAAGGTATCCAAACTAATTTCAAATGAAGCCTGCATCTGATTCTGATGTTTGCCAGAACTGAAATCACTGGTGCAGTAGGTTCATCCTTCCTGCTGAACATGTCGGAATATGTATCAGATGGGTGTAGAACATGCCATTGGCACTTTATGAAATATTTTATGTAGTCTATTTAGAATCTACTGGTACAAGGAGAAACAATATTTTTTTTAATTTTCTGCTAGAAAAAGTCAGGAAAGCATTGGTCAATTTTCAACAGTTGGTAAATGCAAGTCTATAGCTATGAAAGCAGACAAACAAACTTACTCAGGGTCATCCTGGAAATCTTGAGATTCTGCCAAGTCGTCATATTCTGCTGCTGCATCTTTGCCAGCCAAGATTAGTTCCTTGGAAGGAACCACCACCTGAAAAGAGATATAGCCAAAACAAAGGTTTCATAACAAATATGAAAACAACTGTAACTGCTAATGAAATTTGAACTACCATGGAAACTTCTCATAGCCAAAAGATCTTCTCACATACTAATCATGGGTATCAAAAGCCTCCTCTCCTTTTTTAAAAATAACACATTGCTGTGTTAAGGCAGAAAGCCATTCTAAATCTGAAAAAGGACTATGCAGATATTCATTTCATATATTTTTAGCATAGTATTGGAGTATATATATTAGCTTGTACATGTAAGATGATAAGAAGCTATAGTACCTTTGCAGTACTGTTAATATCCTCAGGATCATTTTCCTCACATTCTTTTAAGGTCACATGGGTAAGGTTTTCCACTGGATTGGTTAGAGTTAGAAGAACTTGACTTTCCTATGAATGAAATATATGAGACAAAATATTCATGGTTCTATATTTTTGCCTGTATGATACCCTTTTAGGGAGTGATAACCTTCTAAATAGCAACATGAGCCATTATCCCACTCATTTTTCTAAACTATAAATATTCAATTCATATTGGAATTAAGGAAAATTATAAATTGGTTTTCAGTCAACCAAATTAAAATCAAACACAAAAATCAGAAATGGCAAGCAGCCACCCTACAGCATAACAAAATTTTAGGAGATTTACTGTTTCACCTTCACTCATCTTATTACCCAGGCAACCAGTTCATACACCTCTCAACCAGACTTTTTCTTGATGGAAGGTGCTTCCTGAGTCATGGCTGGGACTGGGAGCAAATAGCAAAAGTCTAATTGCTCTCCACAAACTCTTTCCTCTTTGATAGAGAGAAAAAATGTCTTTTTGCCAGAGACCTCTGGGAGAAAGAAGCAAGAAATTGTGGGCTTGGGTTAGAGGAAGTCAAGATTCACTTCTAACCTCACATTTAAGACTGAAAGTTCCAGTAAGGATAAAAGAAGGAATCTGAGTCAAGGAATTACTACTTTAAGAAGCGTAAGTATATGCCTAGTTATCAATGCATTAAAATTTTTGAGGGGATTCTGGTTTTAATTTCCTATCTCTGGTTATTGTCTCTATTATAAACACAGTCCTGTCTGATAGAAAGTGGCATCTCTTTCTCTCAGTTGCTTTTATATTGGTAGATTCTTTTTTTAAAAAACATGTATATTGAGGGATTTTTTCCCCAGTGGGAGATTTCTATAGTGTTTATGATAATATCAGCACTATATAGTTTACTATCCTTGTCCACTGAATGTTTCACTTTATTTTTTAAAAAAGCCATTTTCCTTTCAAATTATAACTTATAATCATGATCTAGCTTTCCAAAGGAAAGTAGGGTATGGCTATTTTCCATAATTATACACCTCAATGTTACCAAAGAGTAGCACCTTTATTTCTATTTTTTCTCCCAATCTTTTTCTCTGCTTTTTACCAGAAGCCAAAGAGCTTGCAAGATTAGTAAAAGAGCATCAAGCAAAGGCATTTCAGGAAGTCACATGGTGATCATAATAATTAACAAGCACTACCCTGATGCTAGGAAAGGGGGCCATGGCTTCTAAAGCGAGAGGGCTTCTGGGAGAGAAGTTTGACACCTCCAAGTTTTCACCTTAAGATTTGGCATTATCACTATACCTAATCTTTGCTACACGAAAAAAAAAAAGGGAGATGCTTCAAGATTTACAATTCTCAAAAGCAGACATTAAACTTCTAACATTATGTTGTCATGTATTCCTTATGGACATCTTTTTCAATTTTTTCATCCTGACAGACTTTTGAATCCAATTTAAAAACAGTGGATTGTGAAACCACGAGTTACGAGTCATGCCTTCACTGAACCAATGTTACTAAACAACATGTTAGTTTTCCAGGCCTCTTTCACATTTTGAACAAAAAAGATTTAACAGCCACTCATATTCAGGCTTCATGATACTTTGAAGGTCCATCTCAAAAGAAGATTAAAGTAAACAATTACTAACCTTCATATAGCGCAGATTAGGAATAGACATGATTCTCACTTCTGGGATGTAATTGCTATAAATACAAATAAAAACACCATTAGGAAATATATGAATGGCATTGTCTCTAGTCTTTTTGCTATGCTTTATAATTTTAAATACCTCATTTTTCAATTATGCAGTTTTCAAATTATTCTCAACACTGAAGAATTTTTAAAAGTGGCAAAATATATGATTGGGAAACAAGTTTTTTAAACTTGTTTAAGTTGTAACGTATAGCTTCCAGTTTGTTTTTTCATACAACACAGTAATTGGGCTTACTGTGAATTTCCTTTCTTTATTCACAGAAATATGGACCTCACAGGAAAGAGTTAATTTCACTTCTTTCAACTAGTAGGCAGGACTAGAAGACATTTTCCTACGCCATGAAAGAAATACCCTCCCTTCAGTAGCATGCACTAATTTCAGCTGAAAATCAGAAGTCTGGTAGCACCTTTTCAGACTTACACGTTTTATGACATGTGAGCTAGTAAAGTGATATAGGATTCAAATTAGGATGAGGGAAGGGGCGGGGGGGGGGGAACAGTTCATTTATGCAGGTTTACATAGTGTTGTGATGTTAAAAAACATTATGTTCCATGAAACCTTTTGATGTATGTGAGCTCAACTACCTTTCACTCAATTGTGCTATTAGAAGTTTTGAGTTTTCTTGTTTTCCAAATAATAAGCATCTTCCTCTCCCTTCTGGTTTTTCGCTACCATATATTTAACATGGGTCTCCTACAATTATTTCAGCAGGGTAGTTTAACTTCTTTCTGAGGTAAATCATTGTAGTAACAGAAAAACCTTGCTATTGACACGAGCACATATGAAATAGAAGAACAATGTTGGATAGTTTATAGGATAATAAACAAAATCAGCCACCACTTTCTTAAACCTCTCTATCTTTGTATATCCTGTAGGAGGAGACTGTTCAGTCTATCAATAAACATGTGCCTCTCTCTTCGTGGGATAAGGGGTTCTTCCATCATTTCCTGAACTTATCTCAACATACAAGCAGCCCTCTCTTTGCTGTTATAGATTCTTTATCTGATGATGTCAGGATGGCGTCTTCCTATGTCATCCTTTTTCCCTTTTCCATTGGGCATGAAAGATGTGTTACAAGTAACTGTTTCAATATTGGGTACAACTAAGATCTAACGACTGGCTTGCTCAGGCAATAGGAGGTGTGTGCTAGCTATAGATATCATGGGCTACACGGGGAGATTATTTTGCTGTACTATAGAGGTGTTCAATACTAACACCGGTGCTTGCTTCCACTGCTTTGGAGATGAATTCTCCACAATTCTGTCCAATCTCTTTCCCCCAATCACTGATCTCAAGTGTGATCTCTTTTCAGCACAGATCAGCTATTCTTGCCAGAATCACTTAGCTTGATTACCCACACTTCATGGTGTTAGCACCAATTTTTCACTACTTATTAATCTATTTATTAAATTTATATGCCACCCATCTCACTAATAAAATAACTAAGTATGGCATTTCCCAATCCCTTTTATTTATTTTTTCTTTCTCAACCCTTACCGTAGAGCTGAAAGGAAAGCTGGCTTTTTCTAGAAATCAAGGTTAAAGACTGAAGGAAGCAGTTTCCTCCATGGGATAGAAGTCATCTTATCTTCTGGCTAGGATAAGTAGAATAAATCTTACCTGCCAGTTCGTATTGTCAATGAGTAATACTAATTTTCAATCTGCCAGAGCAGAAACCAACTAAACTATTAGAAGCACACATACTTAAATTATATGGACATTACAGCCTTTGTCAAAGAAAAACATAATATTTAACATAATGTCTAGTTGATTGCACTGCATTGTTTAATAAAATTGGAATTTTAAAAACTATATTTTCGTACATTTATTGTGTCTATATTCACAAGAAAAGCTAAAATAGAAAGTCTGCTACTAGCACACTATTTTTCTGTGTGCTGGAACTTGGATTGTGAGAACCTGTATTTACTAGAAGAAACCTTATACATTAGATACAGATTTGTCCCAAGAATTTGCTTGAAGTCTTTTGTTTTCTTGCAGTCAGTTTTCAAAATACTTACACAGCAGCCAATTGAATTTTGAATTTTATTGATGTGGGGTTGAACTCTGGTTTACTCAAATTGTGTTCACATTTCTACAAACAAAAGAAAAAAAGAGAATAAGAAGTTTGTAAAGCTATGCTCAAGAATTATAAATGTAACTGCAGAATCATTTTATTTTACTCAATTCACTAAACCAAAAGGTAAGGGCCAAGAGTGGCTGTATCCAAGAGTGGCTGTTGACAGTAGAATGGAAACTGCTACTGGGATGGATTCCTCCTATCTCCTATCTCAAAACTGCTAGAGAACCCAGTTTCTCCAGAAGGGATATGAAGGAAGGAAGGGACATGAGCACGGGAGAAAAAAACCAAGGGCATTCATCCATATCAACATAAAGCATTTCCTTAACAATGGAAATAGCCTATAAAAATGCTGAAAGATTTTATTCAGACACTTTGTTTCCTAAAAAGAACCTGCTCTCTTGTCAGACCTAGTCCAAGAATGAAGTAAAAAAAAGGCAGTCAAACTTCAGTTCTTTATTTGCATAACCATATAGACAGAATCTTGCCAAATCAAACCTATGTTACTCCAATCTAATGGGAATACCCTGGGACATTTTAAGGAGGAATTCCCTATCCTAAATCTCTTCCTCTTCTCACAATCCAGCTCCAAACTGTGCTCCCTCTTGTTCAACCATTGGAATGTAGTCCCTCCTTCCTGGGAACCTGCTGTATTATTGTAATCCACTACATCACCTCCCCCTTCATAGACACATTTCAACACAACTGTCGAAGTTTATTTAGTTCAGGATGTTGTTTCCTATCACAGCTAGCCACAAGCGTTTGACAAGATAATATGGGGGAGATGGAAACATACCTTGCCTAGGAACTGATAGAAATATAACCACCATGCAGAAAACCTACAGATTGCCTTCTGCATCACAAATGTATCCAACATAACATTTAAACTTACATTCATTTTGGCAATAAATTCTACAAATAATACAAAATTATATTTTAAATGTATCTTGCAGGGTAAGATTCTTTACATCTTTGGAACTTAAGTCTTTTTTTTAGTCTTTCCTTAAGTCATTAGTTCTCATGCTTCAAATAAGAACTAAAGAATTCAACTCAATGATAAATATACTTGTAGTTATAAAGCACTTAGTGTCTATCTCATTCTATTTATTTAGCATGCATTGCCTGGAATTGTCAGTATTCCACATTACTCCTTACCACTATTATCAGTAGCCACTGAAATGAAACAGGGAAAGTTACATCTTTGTGACCTCACAACACAAAGTAAGATGAATTTGATATCATGAAAGATGAAGCTATGCAGTTATCACTTTTGGCAGTATAAATTTACAAGTGGGTTTCATAAAATGCATTTATAAAGGACACTGCCTCATTGTATAGACACAGAGTAACAATATTTTCCTATTGAAATAATACAAATTTATTGTAATCTAAGAATTCACAAAAACTGCATTCCCATACCAATTACATTCAAAATCAGCCAAGGGCCAAAGCTGAAAGAAAATTGTAATAATTCCAGGACAGGGAATTCTGGAATTTGCATATAATCTCTAATTTTGTCAAAAAGTTTCTGTGATGGCTGTATAGTTTTTCATAGTGATTACATACCCTGCATCGCAGTGAGCGTTTGATCAGAAGGTGCTTATGACGTGGGTAAAGTTGAGAAGCACAAATGGGCTGAAAATCTGGCTGCAGGAGACGCTGCTTTAAGGTTGTCACTGTTCACAACACAGGAAGTTCAGAAAATTCACAATCTCAGTTAATGATTTTGAATAATAAGAACAGGGACCATTTGAATCAATAATCTTGGACAGAAATGTGAAAAGACAAGCTAAACTGTTACCTTCTGTTAGATTGACTGGCCTTGTGTAATAATCCTCAGGTAAAGGTTCTACTTCTTCCACAGCCTGAGCTAGTTCAATTTTTATCTCCTTGTGGTCTTCCCCTTCTTTCAGCCTAAGGCAAAGGGAATGGATCGATTGCTTTTAAAAGAAGCCATAAAAACCTGAGCAGTACTAAATTGTCGGTTCAGAGGAAGCAGTATAGAGCTGCTAGAGATCAAGTCTTTATGTTCAGATCTTATTGCAGCACTTGGAATAGAAGTACCAAGCGGTAGCACTCAACCTAATTTACATTTTAACACTGAATTAATATAGATAATAGCAAATTTTAGAAGTAAGAACATGAGTTGTATTTTTTTTTATAAAATGACACTTTAGACAAGATCGCAGGTACATCTTAGATGTCCACACACTGGTAATGAAAATACAGCATTTAACTAATCAGCTAAAGAAGGAAGACCCAGAATTATCCTTGATTCTGAGGCTATTTCCATTTTATAATCGGGATTAAGCAATGTAACTTTAATCAATCACTGATATGAAAGAACTAGTACTCACGAAAGTCCAGTAAGGGCGCTGATAGGGGCCCCAGGCCTCTGACGTTGGAGCCTGGTTCCAAGGCCATATTTGTCCTACAAGAGATACAGGTAATCCTTGACTTATAACTGGTTGCTTAACAACCCTTCAAAGTAATGAAACTGAAAAAAAAGTTCTGTATGACCCATCCTTGAAGTTGATTGCCACACCATCTCCACAGTCATGTATTTCAGGCGGTTGGCAGTCAGCTCACATTTACAATCAGCTTGCAGTGTCCCACAGTCATATTATCACATTTTGCTACCTTTTTGCCATTTTCCAGCAAAAATATGTCCATTGGATAAAGTGATTTCACCCTTACAACCACAGAGTTTGCTTTAACTACCACAGTGACTCATTCAATGACTGTTGTAAAAACAGTAATAAAAACGAATCTGATCACGTGGTGCCTCAGCTTACTACCACAATTACTTAAAATCAAAATTCTGATTCCAATTATGGTTATGAGTCAAGGATTACCTGTCAATAACAAGAGGTGAGACAGCAAATGAAAACATACAATCTTGGGGTTTGGGGCAGCTTAAAAACAAGATGTATCAATTACAAGAAAAGCACATCTGGAAGTTTTTTCTGTTCAGAGAAAGTTTTGATAATTTGATAAACAGAAATCAAACACACAAAAGCTAAAAAAAAGCAACAAGCCTTTCAATCATCGTTTATTCTACTTAAAAGTATTTTGATTTAGTGCTTACATTTAAGTTCCACTCGATGATTAAGTCTTCTAGCTCAGAACATAAATATTTATTTATTAAATTTATTTGCTGCCTATCTCCTATCCAATGACACTGGGAAACTTACAACATAAATAGTTTAAATTCTAGGAGGAAATTCCAGAGGGTATTTTGTGGCCAAATACCCTCTCTACTGCATGGGGTGTCAAACTCGCAGCCCTCAGGCCAGATGCGTCATGTGCTGGCCCCGCCCCCACCTGGTTTAGCGAAGGGGGAAACAGTCCCGATGTGTTATGTGATGATGCCTTGACGATGTGAGTTTGACACCCCTGTTCTACTGCAATAGACCTGAAGAAGATCTAGAGGTGAAAAATACATAATGACTGTAATGTTATGAAATCACACCATTATACCGTACTTGAGTTAACAACAGTTAGCTGAGGTACTTGCCAACAAATTGATTGACATTCTGAGTTGTGACAACAGATATCAAAACTGAAGGTTGCCAATTTCTAAGGAAAAGTAGGCTAGATTCAAAAGTATTCCTCTGCATACAGAAAATAATTGAAATAGTTCTTTTCCCATTAGTGCCAGACCAGTGTACTAAAAAATGAAATCTAAAATGAAACTAAATATCTACATGTACAAGAGGTCAGGCAACTTCTCAGAGAAGTATGGTAACTGCTATAGTTCACTGAATCCAATGTTAAAAGCAGTTTATATGGCAATGTTACTGAGTCAGGTAACTTATCTCTTATCTCCCTGCTGCTCCTAATAGTTCAGTCCATGTTATCTTCATGGTAAGAATAGAAAGTTTAGCCCTGTACCATAAATAAAATTGCTGAATACTTTGGGATATTATTTTGCCTGTCTAACTCTCCTATTGTTTTGTAAACTTTTGGTGGGTGGCTTATTATTTTAGTTTAAAGGAAAGGAAAATATTTTCATTTATCTATATGGCATATCAGATAAAATTTATATTAACATTTCTATACAAGATTGCTATTTAAAAGGATTTATTATTTTTAACAGGGAAAGAAATATTTAAGTGGCAAAATTATAGACAGGGAGTAATGTATTTATAGGCAGTCTATAGTTCAAGAGGACTAAAATGTGTCAATGAATCATAGACAGTGGAAGTCCAGAACATACTTGTCCAAGCAAAATCTATCCAACTGTTCTTAACAGCATTCAAGTTCATCAAATGTACTGTGACCTCACAGTACATTTATATGGTCTTACACTGAACAATTTTGGTTTTATGTAAAAAAAATATTAATGAATACACTGATTTATATGACTACTAAAGTCAAATGTGTATTAATTCATTCAGACTGAATATGAACTTTCCTATTATGAACATGTTAGTCACCCAAATGCAACAATGACAATTTGACTAGCTGAATCCAGCTAAAGGAACCAACTAAAGGAACTTACCACTACATGTATAGTATGTTGCTGTGGAGGGCCCCCAAATTAGCGGCAGGTAGCAACGGAGATAAAAAAAAATGCACCAATAAAGACAAAAGCAATGCATAGGGCAAGCAGGTTATACAGTTATCCAAAGGCAGAAAGCATATGCAAAATTATTTAGCCAAGAAAAAAAAAAAGCTTTTTATTTGACACTGAATGCAAAGCTGAAAATTAAAACAAAATACATATTTAAATACAAATATCTCAGACATTACATTTGTGCTGACTATGAGCTAAATCGTTGCATACAGAATAATAGTAATCCAGCATTTGAAAATCCAAGGTATTGGGGCCCATTTCCAAATCTGAACCTTCACTGTAAAATACAAGCCAAGTCACTTTACGATTTCACAGTATGAATGCCTACATTTATTTCACGTACAGATAGTTTTCAACTTACGACCACATTTCAGGCCACAACTTCTGCTGCTAAGTGAGACAGTTAAGTACACTTTGCCCCGTTTTATGACCTTTCTTGCCACAGTTGTTAAGTGAACCTGGCTTCCCCATTGACTTTGCGTGTCAAAAGGTAGCAAATCACATGATTCCAGAACACTGCAACTATCATAAATATCAGTCAATTATCAAGCATCTTAATTTTGATCACAAGACCATGGGGATGGTGCTATGGTCATAAATGTGAAAAGCGGTCATAAGTCACATTTTTCAGTGCCGTTGTAATGTCAAACAGCCACTAAATGAATTGCAAGTTGAGGACTACCTGCAGATACCTCTAGGTAAAACATAAGCTACGAAAACTTCAGATAAGGTCCAATTATTATTTTTTAAATTTTCTTGCTTCGGTTTTAAAAATGTCAGCTACAACAACAATTGTATCACTGCATTTTAAAATGTTAAACATCTGATTTTTAAAGTGTGATCTCAACAATTTCTATGCTGTTTTTCTAGCTTACCGAAAAAGCCAGTGGCATGTACGGTCGCCGTCGAACTAATTTTTTACGATCTCTTTCCATCTTCTCCTTCTGAGCCAACTGTTGATAATACTCCACCAGTTTATTAATCTATATATATATATAAAAAAAACATTTTAAGCTATTCATGAGAAGGCACATTCTTTACAAGATTTTTTAACCCTGAATTCACTCTGAAATTTTTTAAAAAACCTTTCACTGCATTTATAAACATAGTGGAGTTTAAAATTTACTCTCTCTCTTCCGTAGCAACTCTTTCTTCCCCTATTTATTTTCTTTATGTTTAATTTGCGCTACTACTCTATATTACTACATATTTACCAATTTAAATGGACATTACTGTTCTTTTGTAAAGGCTGAACATAGAGAAATGGGACAAATCAATACATTCCTGATTTATTTCACTTTCATTATTTCCTAGTAAATTCATTTATTCCTCAATAAACCTGCAATGTTAAAACTATCCATGTGAAAATTCTGCATGTTAAAAAAAATCTCAAAATATATATTTCAACATATATTTTAACACTGGCATGTGGTAGCTTACGTTTTTGTTTTTAAATGCATAATATTTTATTGAAATAATAGGATATGCGCATGTGTGTGCACACACACACAATACTTATATAGACTAAGCTACATACAGACCAGTTTTGTCTTCATTCTTGGACTAACTACTGCTGTGTCTATGCCTGAACAGGAACTAAGCTGATCTGGAGCATGTTTCTATGTATCAAGCCTTGTCGTCTGGCTTAATTAATCTGTTAATTCCAAGGTCATCCTACTAACTGCATCAGAAAGAGAAACTGAAAGAAAATTTTGAATTACTGATGCCTTTCCTTTGTATGGGTCTTTTACTTAAGTGATAATCAGTACTCAAAAGTCAAATCAGGCTCATACCAGAGAAAACCAGAAATCATCTAAGTCAGGGGTCGCCAACCTTTTGGACCTCAAGAACCACCAAACTCATAATTTTAGATTCCAGGGACCACTAACCGGTTCTGTGGGCATGGCCTAATTTGTGGGTGTGGCTTGGTGGTCATGTGACTGGCTGGCCATGGCTTGTATGTAAATATTATAAATATTTATATATTGAATTTTTTATAAAAAAGAGCAACTTTTACCCAAAATCAGGCAAAGCAGGCAGACTGAGTTGCTCACAGAATCGTTCAGTGATCTATCTATCTGCCATCGGCTAGCTCAGCCTGTCACATAAAATTTGCTTGTAAGCAAACTCACAAAATTAACTCACAACACACCATGTATGTAAATATTGATTTATAAAAAAGAGCAACTTTTACCCAAAATCAGGCAAAGCAGGCAGATTGAGTTGCTCACAGAATCATTCAGTGATCTATCTATCTGCCATCAGCTAGCTCAGTCTCTCAAATTTGCTTGCCATGAGTCTGCACTGAATTTGCTTGCAAGCAAACCTTCAGTCCTAAGGGAGGTTCGGCTGTACTTAAAAGCAGAGCCAAAGATCTAAAGACTAGCTAGAAAGCAAGAAATCCAACCATTTCCTGCTTCCTAGCTAATCTAAATCTACTGGCACAGCAGAACAGATGATGGTCGGAAAAAGGAAAAATAGCAATTTAGCAGGCAAGTTTGCTGGGTAAGGAATGAGTAGGCGGGGAGGGTTCCTGTGGGCCATGTGGGCTGAGCAGACTTGTGTTTCTGTGCAGCCTGGATTAATTGCTTTGGCGGGGTTCTGGGGGTGAGATTTCTCTGCGGCCCACCAAAATTTTCTCACGGCCTACCAGTTGGCGACCGCTGATCTAAATCACAGGTGTCAAACTCAATCGTGTCATGTGACATATTGCAATGATTTTTCCCTTTGCAGAGCCGGAGTGGGCATGATCTGTGTGTGATGCATCCGGCCGGCAGGCCAGCAGTTTGACATCCCTGATATAAGCTTTTACTTTCTAAAACCCGTTACATATATTAGATGACTAGAAGCTATCTAGTTGTTTGTAGGAAGACAATGGATCTGGGAAGAAAAACTAACCTAAACAAAAGGTAACCTCCTTCTTCTAAAAATGATACAGGAAGACTGTGATCTTCCCTGCACAGATCATAGCTGGCATTTCCAGGGCTAATAAGATCAGTGCAGGAAGGCAGTGTCTCAAAGCAGGGCAGCTATAGGAAAATACATGGACTTGATGCTTTTTCCACCAGTGCACTTCATACCGAGGCCAATATTTATATTGCACTGCTAAATCAGTTGGGGAAAGACTGTGAATACTCTCAGTCACTTGAGACTTATTCTCTCAAACTTAATCACTAGATATGTTTTTTTTAGTTACCTTTTGTGTATAAGGATTTTCAGGTTCCTGCCAACCTCCACTGGCTGCAATATAACAAAAAATAACATCCATAATTAAAAAGAAGATAATCATGAAACACATGTTCTAGTCAAAAATAAACTATATAGAAAGCAACTGTCTGCTTCTCTCATTTGCTAAATCCATCAAGGGGCTAATATTTGTTATTTAGAATGACATAATACTGTGTGTTTCATCACTACATCATGAGTCAGAAAGCAGCTTATGTTTCTAGTCTAGTAACTGACTGTTGAACATAGGGATATAAAATATCAATGATCGGTTAGCAAACCAAAGACAGGTGCTAAAAATCTATTTTGTACCTTCCATTTTCCCTTGCAAATTTTCCTGTTGCAAGGGAATTTTATTGTTATGGAAATAGCACACAGTGAAAAAGACTTCCGTAAGGAAAATCAGCAGATGGTATGTAACAATAATGTACAATGTTACAGAACGAAACATTACAAAACATCCCACTCTCTTATATTCATCTTCAAAACATATCTGTGGGGAGAGGGGAGAAGGCGCAGACATCTATACAGATAACTAGGGGATTCTGAGTTGATAATATTCTCTGCACATATTGGAGACCAACCCTCCTTGAAATAAAAGTGGAAGGCAGACAAATTCTTTTTTCCTTCAAATTTCTTGCCTTTAATAAGGGTTCCCATTCTTATATCTCTTATGTTAGAGATATATGCTAATTTTGGAACCATTGGAAAGGACCAGCATTAAGAGACATAATTGCTGAAATGATTGAAACTACCTCCATTGTTTTTCTTTAGCTTTGTTCTACTATTCCTCTGCTTCCTTTGGTACAATTATTATGGAAAAAGTAATTCTCTTACAAAATTTAGCATTATTTCATTCAAAAGAAAAGATGAAAAAAGACATCAAAATTAGTGTCATTATATTTGAAGAAATAAAGTCCATAATTATACTGCATGCTTTTTTGTCCTAAATTTTCCACTGTTCATTGTTAGCAGATGAATCAAGCTCTAGTGTTATGAGAGACAACAAAAGCCTGTTTTGTCCACACTCTTCACACTATACATATATATCTTCTACAATCTTCTGAATGAAATAATCCTAAATTTTCTAAGAGAATTACTTTTTTCCATAATAATCAAGCTCTTAAAGCAATTACTCATGCTGGATAGTTCTATCTCTAAATGTCCATTGCAAGGAAAAATATTTCCCAATTGCTGCAAAAATTGCACAAGATAAACTTTTGATCCAATCCAACATGAAGTTTAAATATTTTCAATAAGAATTATTCAACATATCTGGGAACCCCCATTATCAACTGAAATGACATAGCACATATTTATAAAACCCAATTCTTTTTGTGACAAGACCCCATTAATCAATAAATTTAATTCCATTCAAATTCTGTAAACCTTTGTGTATATTACCAGTTTTTAGCATAATATAACAGTGTTCCCCCTTTGGCCCATAACTCTGCATAACACGTAGAGTTTTTTAAGCCATCCTTGTCCCATTTATTTTAGATATGATATTCACCAACTGATTTATCTGCCATGCCAACATCCCTGGATGTCCAGCGGCAAAATCCACAGGCCAGATAATAAGCTTTTTTCATTGTAGTTTTAGCTGGATCATCAGGCAATGGAGCAGGAATGCTTGTTGCTCGGGTAGAAAGGGTGTGCATACAGCAAGGACAATCAAAACAGTTAGCACACCTAAGCAAGAAGACACCAGTAATTAGCTTTTTAATTGAATGGATTTGATTATATTTTCCTTCTTAGAGAGACAATGCTCATTGTTATGTAAACCATATTGATTTGAAATTAAAAACTGTGTATAAATTGGAGCCAAATTTCTTGATTTATAAATGTACATATAATTCAAAAATTGCTTCTAATAATAAGTTTTAAAATAGTATTTTTTGCTCAGAAAAATTCATGGAGCAATCAACAGGAAGCAAATTAATGTTATCTCTTCCTTTATAAAAATACAAAAACCTTGCCATGCATATATCTTCAGATTTTGTAATAATCAATCTGTTAAGATTCTATACAGATAGTCCTCAACTTACAACAGTTCATTTAGTGACCTTCTGAAGTTTCAACAACACTGAAAAACGTGATTTATGTCAATTTTTCACACTTATGACCTTTGCAGCATCCTCATGGTCACGTGATCAAAATTCAGACACTTGGTAACTGACTCGTATTTATGACAGTTGCAGTGTCCCATCATCATGTGATCACAGTTTGTAATCTTCTGACAAGCAAAGTCAATGGGGAATTGAAATTCAATTAACTGTATGGCAACTGTGTTGCTAAACAAATGCAGTGATTCACTTAACAACTGTGGCAAGAAAGGTCGTAAAACAAGACAAAACTCACTTAATAAATATCTCACTTAGCAACAGAAATTTTAGGTTCAATTATGATTGTAAATCAAGGACTACCTGTACTATTAAATTCAAAGAGGGTTTCAAATTAATAAGTATGTGGTTAAATATAAAGAGATTATGCAAAATACAAAAGAAAAGCTTTAGGAAAAGAAAGGGTGTGTACATGGAATGTAGCCTTACCTATTTTTTTTGAGCTTGGCTTCAGCTGAAGGCATATTCTCCAAGCAGCTGGGACAATAGTGAGAATCCACCTATAAAATAATTTTAAAAAGTCATCATTCTTCACCACTATACTTGAACTAATGCTACTTCTTATATTTGGAATAAAAAAGACATTTGGATTTTTAGGAGCTGGGATAGGACAATATCCTAAAAACTGATTTATAAAACATAAAACTTTAATTTGATTATTGATCGTTACTTCAGATTTTGCTCTGAAAGATCAGATAGGCATTTTAATTGTAGAGGTAAGATCCAATATCAGAAAAACGTTGTGAGTCTTCTGCTTCTCCTGGCTAGTTTCCAAATATACACCTTGAGGCTTGTGGAGAAAATTTATCCCATTTTAAAATGAAATATTAAAATGTAACATCAAATGTCATGCTCAGGAGACATAAGGTGAATCAGAAGGGCTTACAATTAAATGAAACGAAAAGATTGTTCTCCAAAATTGTGCATAATTTCTTTCTATTCTAGATATTATTATTGAGAGGAAATTTAGATCTCTACCAGAAAAATACTCAGCATCCTTATTAAACTACAATCCCCCAGATTATTAACGACAATTAAAATTGGCATTATACCTGGGATGAAAAAGAAACTTATAATCAGCAGCGATTCTATTAATTTTCTAGCAGATATTTTTCTCATTCTCAACTATTAATATTTTGAACAGGAGATGCCAAAGACCAAATTTGGAATGTGTCCTGTCATGAACCAATTCTTAAAATTTATTTTCTATCCAACTGGGTTCCAATAGCTTGTCACCTTCTTTAATTACTCTTTAGGGTTTTTTTTAATTATTCTTTAGGTTTTTTTTCCAGAAATGAACAACTGTAAAGTAAGTCATTCAAAAACGAATACTTCAAACTAAGACCATTTAATCATAATGACTTAAGATATTTCTTGTTCAGTGCTTATAGACCAGGGGTGTCAAACCCGATCACATTGCGGGCTGTATCATGATTGTTTTATGCCCTTGCGGAACCATGGTAGGTGTGGCCTGTGCAGGCTACATCAGGCTCGCAGACCGTGTGTTCGACACCCCTGTTGTAGACTGTTTTAAAATGGAAATTGGTTCACATTCAAAGCCATATACAGTAACAGTAACCTTTTTACTTTTTTATTTAAAAAGTAAAATATTCCTCTTCATTCATATTCATACAGAACAAAATTGGGTCAAACAATCAAAATAGAGCTAGGATCTTGGAAGTCTTGTAGTCCAACCCCCTGCTTCTTAAAAACCTCCAATGATGAAGCACCCACAACTTCTGGAGGCAAGCTGTTCCACTGGTTAATTGTCCTCACTGTTAGGAAGTTTCTCCTTAATTCCGTTTTGCCTCTCTCCTTGATTAGTTTCCATCCATTGTTCCTTGTCCTGTTTTGGTAAATAAGGTGACCCCGCTCTTCTTTGTGGCCACCTCTCAAATGCTAGAATACTGCTATCATATCGCCCTAGTCCTTCTTTTCTCTAAACTAGTTAAACCCAAATCCTGCAACCGTTCTTCATGTTTTAATCTCCAGGCTTTTAATCATCTTAGTTCCTCTTCTTTGCACTTCTTCCAGAGTCTCAACATCTTTTTTGTAATGTGGCGACCAAAACTGGATACAGTATTCCAGGTGTCGTCTTACTAAGGCTTTATAAAACGGAAGTAATACTTCACATGATTTTGATTTCTATGCCTCTGTTTATACAACCAAGGATTGTATTAGCTTTTTTGGCTGCTGCTGCACACTGCTGGCTCATGTTTAAGTGATCATCCATGAGTAAATATTATTATTTACTCGTGGATGATCATATTATTTACTAGTAAATAAAAACTAGTAAATAGTAAAATAACTGTCAAAAACAGTTATTTACAATCTTGGGACTGCAACCCAAACAATGTCAAAATTAGGTTCAGGAAGATGACATTCTAGAAGTGTCATCCTTGGACACTTTTAGAATGATTCGAACAACAGAGTTCCTTTACTATTTTTTTTAATCAATGGAAAATTTGTTTAAAATTTGGAAGCCACCTATAAAATCTGAACAAAAGTTACATGTTTTTATTGGTGCACTCACTTCTCTGCAGATCAAAAGACTAATACTAAATTGTAATTGAATAAGGTTGTATAATAAATTGATTTTCAGTATTACAAAGTACAGTGCTGAATTCCAAATGCCCCCTAGCTTGGCAAACTGGACAGCATATCTGGAATTCTGAGAAAATGTCATGGGAATTCCTCCAAAAGGATAGCCACTGTGAATACTCACACAAAAATCAATGTTACTAGTCTTTCAGGCTATTCTATCATATCTGTGTATTTCTATCCTTTTCTGGACATGCGGGCATACTTCAAAACTGAAGTGAATCCTCAATCATTTTCATTTAAAAAAAATGTCTCCAGAATATATCTGGGGGCCAGGAGCATTCTTCAGAATACTTTTTTGTGCTTTGCAGCACCCTAGTGTCCCATTTTTTTAAAAAATAAATACATCTAAAATTAAAATGAAATGGGGCATTTTTTTTCTGCTGCATATAACAAAACACGGCTCCAAGAACGTTGCAACTTACAGGCGCCACAATATGAATCAAGTCTGTAGTCCACTCGTAACTGCCCATTGCATTTTTTGCAAATACAAGTTTCATATAGTTAGATGGGTAGCAGTACCTGATTACCAACATTACCTGGAATCCAATTGGACTCAGGCAGGACATAAATATATAAATATAAATTATATTGCGTGGTGTGGGAGAGAATAAGATGTGGCTTAAACTGTTTCAAGATGCAACAGTAACCAACTGGGAGGCATAGCATAGTATGATGATGTCTGAACAGGGAGTGATGGTAATTTACACAGGAAAAGCAGCAACTTCATGGGAAGAAATGTCATTTCAAATACATATGCTAAAAGATTCCCCTCCAACCTTCCTAAAAATCTCTTCCTCTCTTCCCTATCCAGAATTAACTCCCTTTCAACCCAGCCAAGGCAGCACAAAGGGACGCTGACAGAGGGACACGCGCCCCAATCGGCCTTCCGTTCTCGAGCTCGGAACCAGAAAAACGGGGAATGTTGGCAACACAATCCCTCTTAGCCAATTGGATGAAGTGGGGCTAGGACTGAGAGTGGCAGCAAGGGTTAGCCAATCCACACCGCTGGCTTGCGATGAAATTTCCCCAGCCTCTCCAACACGGCCAATTTACCTCATGCGAGACACACTCGAGGGAACGGAGCTCGCTGCAGTAGCGACAGAAATACAGCTGCGAAAGCGGCATGCGGATCTCCTTTTCGCCGCGCACCAGGTAAGAGACGCGGTCCGACTGAAGAAGAGAAGCCATCTTGGCAGAACAGAAGCCGGCCCCAGCTCTCCGGCGCGCCGCCCCACCCAACTTTCCCGATTTCCGCCACGTGACCCGGAAACATTCCGTCTCGGGCATGGGCCTCGGTAACCAGCGCGTCGTCATTTCCGCCAGTTCTCCAAAAGTGAGATCAGACAGACAGGTGTCAATAAGAGAACGTGTAGAAATGTAACGTTGAGGTTCTGTTGTGTTTCCTGTATCAACGCTTTGATAATGACTTGCCAAATTTAAAATTAGCGCGTCTTATGGCAATTTGATAAATTGATCTTCTCCAGTCAGTGCTAGACACCTCAGACTAAATTCTATTTTCCGACTGGTGGTTATTGTAATCAATCAGAATAGAGCTGGAAGACACTTTAGAAGTCTTCTACTACAGCCCCCTGCTCATAAGCTTCTTGTTTTTCTGTCCAAATTGTCCAGCTCCATCTGGGTCCTGTCAATTATTCCTGCAGAGTATCGAATCACAGGTATAGCCCAGGTGCTTTTATGATGTTTCCACCACTCAGTTTGGACTTTAAAATCTTGCGAATTCTTCAAATGGACTTGGCTGAAGTTGATTCCTTGACTTTATTATGCATTAAACCAGAGGCTTCTAAAATCCCTAAGTACTTGTAGCCCTTCTTCTGGTTTCACTGCCTTTATCATTTCTTCTTTTTCAAGTTCTGTTCCATCATCTTCTATGATCTTGCCTGCTTTGATTGCCATTGTTGCACATTTGTCAATTCCAAAGTGCATGCCAGTGTCCTGGCTAAATTCTTTTGTGCTTTCAATTAGTGAATTCAGTTCACTTTTTGTTTTACCAAACAGCTTCAAATCATCCACGTACAACAAATGCGAAATTTCCAATCCTTTCTTTGCAAGTTCGTATCCACAGTTCACCTTCTTAAAAATGGTTGTCAGTGGTAGCATTGACAGAATAAATAATAGGTGTACCATGCGGAATCTGATTGAAAAGGGATTTATGTTATAATATAGTTATTAGGCGATGAATGTTATAATTGTTTAAGGGGACAATTTAAAAGTAGAATGTTTAGTGGGATTTGAAATGGAACAAATTATAAGATATGTAGGTGACACACTTTAAATGGTAATTACAGGGGACCTTGTTTTGCTTTGTAATATTTGAAATGTGGCAGCAATTTTTGGGAAATGATATGTAGTGAAATTGTAAACAGGACAGATAAAAGTATAAGTACAATGGTTGTGAAGATATGGAAATTTTGAAAAGGAAATGAAATAGATTTGGAAATGAATGAGAAAACTATAAAATAAGCTTGAGGGAGGTATTTGAGTAAAAACAAATAGAGAATATATAAAGTAATGATAAGATAAGAAATTGAATATGAAAGATGAATATTAACTGAAATTTTATCTGTATGGAGATGTGAAAACCTGGAACCATGCTGTTCACTAAAAAAGATGTTTTATTTTTCATTTTGTTTTGTGAAAACCCAAATAAAATTGTTTAGAATAAATAATAGGGGTGAAAGGGAGTCACCCTGGAAGATGCCTCGTTTAATTTCAACTTCACCCAGTTCTTCTCCATTAGCTTTGTTTTCCAGAGGTTCATTGAAATTTTCATGAATTTTCTAATGTTGCTGCTGATGCCAAAGATATCCAGGCATTTCTTAATCCAGCTGTGAGGGACTGAATTGAACACTTTCTTGTAGTCTATCCAAGCCATGAACAGGTTGGGTCGCCTTTTGTTCAAATTCTTCAGAATTAGCTTGTCAATCAGCAGCTGGTCTTTTGTTCCTCTTAAGTTTTTGCAGCACCCTTTCTGTTCCAGTGGGAGCAGATCTTTCCTTTTCAAGTATCCATAAATTTGATTTGATATTATGCCAGTAAGAAGCTTATGGCTTGTTGGCAAGCAGGTAATTGGTCAGTAATTTCATAGATCATTTCCTTTGTCTTTCTCTTTCTAAATTAAAAAAGTCTTTCCAATTCATTTCTATAATTTGGTTCATTTGGACAGCAAGTCTTTCATGTAAGCTTGTTAGTGTGTCCAGCCAAAAGCCATGCCCCTCATCTGATCCAGGTGTGCTCCAGTTCTTTATTCTTCTTGACTGACTTTGAACCATTTCCTTTGTTATTTTCACATCTTCCATTTTGGGCACTCTCACTGAGGACTCAAGCTGTTTGATCCAGTTTGCATTTGTTTTGTGCTTCTTGTCATT